TGAAATAAGGACAGCTATACAGGGAGTTGACTCAGGGTTCAAGGATTGGGAGTCTATCCAGAAGGTCAGGAAATGTCCTGTGAGCAAATAATGGGTACCTGAAAAGCTTCCCAAACCCAACATGATTGTGTGTGATCTCGGGCAAGACTTGAACCAGCTCCTGCTTTGGTTTCCTTATCTGTAAAGGGGGTATAGCTATAAACTTGTCATTTGCCAAACAGGATGGGGGTGAGTGATAAAAGCAGAAGGAAGTAGTGTATATGAAAACGCCTTGTAAACTCCAAAGGACTTTCATGAGGTAATTGCTATTTTAAACTGCTTGGTAATAACTTTCTTTCTGCCACTTAGAAATCTGAGAGGACACACTACTTCATGAAAATTAGTTTGAGCTCTTCAAAACTTGTATAAAACAAAGACAGTCCCAATTGCTTTAATCAAAATGATGATCAGCTTCTAAAAATGAGTCCCGTTTCCCCTGAGGCCACTCAGAATTAAAATCTGATTTCAAAGAAGGGGAAAAAACCATAGCATGTTTGAGTTTGCTTCAGTCTTTTGGGTCTCCTGCCCTCTGGTACCTCTCCCGTTCTTCCTGGTTCAGGGGGTCTTTTGAGGAATCTTGAGGGTGACTCACTCCCACTGCTTGCCATTAAGAGTCAGTGTTAGTCAAGAGTGTCACCTCCACTGTTCTGTTTTGAAACAAGCTAAATGATGATTTGAGAGAGAAATGATGGTTAGTATCTGAAATTTGGGGTGGGGACTTCTAGGTTGGGGTCACTGCTTATAAGAATTAATGACTACAAGAGAACCCCTCTGGAAGCTCCAGCTTTGCCAGATTGGAGTAGACTTGGGTGTCTCTGGGTGGCAGGGGTTGGTGGCTCTGTCTTCCTGCGGGTCCTGACCTGGGGTAGGAGGGCTACCATTGAGCTCAATTGGTGGTGTGTGGTGGGGTCTTTCGTGAGGCCAGGTGTAACCCTTCCTCATCCATTTCTTTGTTGTTTGTTTCCTAATCAGTCCCTTTCGTGGGGTGGAAAACGAAAGGCTGGTTATTCCCATCACATGTTATTTTCCCTCCCTTCCAGGCACAGTAATTTCACCATCCCCAGATGAGGGTGATAAGTGTTTGAGATGCGTAACTGTGTCTCATTTCAGTGCCTAACAGAAGATGCAGAATGAGCCACGGCACCTTTCTGCTCAGTAAATTCATAATTACAGGCTTCCTTGTCTTGCCTTGTGCAGGCTTGAGAGCTGTTGATTGGCTGTGAGTCTGTGAGTGTGTAGTAAGGTAAGGTGGGCTGTGTGGCAGGCACACTTTCCCTGGCCTGTGGCACATTCCCATACAGGGACCACTGAATGTTCCCTCCAGAAGGGTTGGTGGCAGAGCCCCTGACCTGCACCTGCCTGTCTGGAATGAGGATTACCAGCCCTGCTGGAATTCAGTTGTTGGCAGAGCTGTTTTGAGAGCTGTGTTAGCCAGCAGAGCATATGGTGCCCAAAGAGCCATAGCTTTTAACACAAAAGCCAGAGAGCACATGCTGGAACTGGTTTAGGTAAAGTCAGGAGACAAAGCCACATGTGATGGGAAGGGGACAGGACTGGGAGTCAGAGGTCTTAGCTGTCCTTATCTCCATCTTTAACTCACTGTGTGACCTCCCGTGAGTTCATTTGGTCTCTCTGAATAGCACCTTGTAGTCTCTAAAATCAGGGATTGAGAATCATTACATAGGATTATCTCTTTTGGATAACAAACTTGTAGAATCTTCTCTGATATTTGTATTTGCACAAGCAATTCAAGAGGAACTGTCTTGACTCCTTATCACTGGTTCTGAGATATACCGCCTGGTACCATCTCATTGTCACAATGCTCATCCTCCTAATCCTATTTCACTTGTTATTAGTGCCAGGCAGAGTCCTTGCATCACGTGCTATACAGTCACCAACACTTTCAGAGACACACGATAGTATCCACTGATAGGTGTCACCTACCAGGCAGTGCCCTGTGGGTCACAGGGCTTCTGTTTTCTCCTGGTGTTGGCAGGGGATGTTCTGGGATCTCTGTGTCTGGGACTTAACTGAATTTAAAAGGGCTTTCAAGTGCTCTATACTGTAGGCTCTGGAACTGTGCATTTCTAGGAAGCATATGGATTTTGTAGTGATAGAAAACTGGGTCCCATTCCTAACTCTCTCTGCCCCCACCCTCCCTCTTCTCTTATTTTTTTGGTAGTAATGGGGATTGAATGCATGGCCTCATGTTTGCTAGGCAAGCATGCTTCTGCTTGAGCCACACTCTAGTCCTTTTGCTTTTAGTTTGTTTTTCAGATAGAGTCTTAACGTTTTTGTGCAGGCTAGCCTTAAATCAAGATCTTCCTACTTCTGCTTCCTGAGTAGGTGGGATTACAGGCATGCACCATCATGTGAGCCCCCTCTCTGCTCCTTATTAGCCACACGTCCTTGAAGAGCTGAAGTTTCTTTACCTATAAAGTGGGTAAAGCCATCCTGCCCACAGAGAACGGTTGGGATGGTTAGGCAAATTAATCTCAAGGAAAATTTTTGCTTGGGGCCTGGGATGCAGTAAATGCTATACAAACATTGATATTCTAGACCCTTTTTATGCTAGTCAGGAAGTAGCTATTGGGCCTCTACTGGATGCTGGTCAGGCCTCTGGTGATATGAACATACTAATGAGCGAGACAGAACCTGTTTGGCTTCTGGAACTCACTGACTTTCAGCTCCAAACTCTCCTTCAGCAAAGACAAAGGCTGCATTCACAGATGTGTGGGGCTCTTGCCTGGGACCCCTGCTCTTTTCTTTCACATGTACAGTCTTTCCTCAATTCTATGCATGAAAGTTTTGAACTCTCCATGACATCCTGACAAGCTCATAGCTCTCTTTTCAGCTGTATTTTCTGACTCTCTTATGAACTATGTTCTTCACATGTAGGCTTCCTCATCTACACTTTGACTTTTTGTGACCATTTTGCTATGCAGAACCCTCCCAAAGTCCTTTTCCTTCCAGTATTGTATGTCTTCTCCAAGTCTATGCCTGAACTCAAATTCCATTCCCTGCCAGGGCCTCCTCCAGCCTGCTCCTTTCTCCCACATCCCAAGTTGGAAGGCTTCTTTCCCTACTTGAACTCCCAAAGTTCTCTGTCATCTATCACATAACTTTTCATCCTGTGCAGTTAGTTCAGTTCTAGTGGTTTCTATCAGACATGGCCCCATGTTCTTTGAGGGCCTGGTCTTTGGGCCTTGCATCATCTTGTATATGCTGTGTGATTGAGAGCAGGCGTTTGCCATGTGGGTGAATGAATGAATGAAGGCTGTTACCTTGCAGGGCTGCTGTTGGTTGTCACCTGACAGAGCCTTCTTCGTGTGATATCTACATAAGGAAACCTATGTGTTTCATTAGGAATTTGCCTAACAAAGTATTTAGTTTTCTTCCTACTTATCTAGATGTCCAGCTAACCTGGCGCTCACTCCCTGCTTTGGTGATTTCTATCACTTAGTGGTCTACCTTGTCCCACTATCTCATTTTTGAGGAGTTTAGGGAGAAATTAGAGAAATTCCACAGATCTGAGATGCTCCCAAATAAGACATTGTCAATTGCTTCCCTGATTTCTTGCAAACTGGAAGAAATATGAAGCTGTCCACTGGAAACATACATAGAAAGATCTTGAATGGAAATGAAGATGACCATTAGGATGGGCAGCAATTTTGTTCTGCAGGGAATTGTTTATTTATTTACTTGTCCTCTGGCTTCTTAAAGCATTTTTTTTTCTTTCCTTTAATGAAAACCTCTCAGAGGACTCCTCACCATGGGAGACAGCCAAGATCTGCTAAGATCTGCCTCGTTAAAATGACATGAGGGCTTGGGCAGTGTCCCCAGAGGGATTGGTGCCTGCCGCAGTATGAAGGGGTAGAGGATGTGGGTTTTTAATTTGGCCTTACTACACCATTTGGCAGAGGAGGTGAAAGGAAGTTTCCTGCAGTAGGTCCAGATGTAGAATGCCAGAGCCAGCAACTGTAATGGACAGCCCACAAGAAGTGGGTCGGCCTTAGCTCTTCTGTAGATTACAAGAAAGTACTGTACAGCATCAGCTATGTCAGGATGGGGTCAACTGAGATGGTTAGGGTAAGAATGAGGACCTACCATGGACTATCCTACTTGGGTTGAGTTCACCTTCACCACTGTCACCTGTGCAACTCACATAACTTTCCCTAAATTCAAATCCCTGAGCTGTAAAATGGGGATACAATAGGTATCTGTGTTCACTGGTTAGGGTTCCAGAAGGAAATAGAGAAGCATATGCAAATTTGGTCATTTGACCAAAGGGTAATAAAGGGGCTCTTCGTAAAAGTGTGGTTCTTTTAAGGGCAGTATAGTATTAGTGACAGTGAAGTTCCTGTTATCGTCTCTAAGCCCAGATAGGGTTGGTCAGGAGATGGTTAACAGAGCCTAGAGATGGAGAGGAAGTATGGGGACCCTGCAGGCAGCTCCTCCTCTCTCCAGGCCTCTGCTAAGGCTTCCCAATGGCTGTTCCTAAGCAGGCCCAAGGGCAGAGAGCTGCTGGTGTAGGATCCTGGACACAGAGAAGGGTGGACTATGGATCTAGAAGATACCCAGCACTGAAGGGTTTGTTAAGTTCTGGGCAGTGACTGACAAAGTCAGGCATACTCTCCCTGAGCCAGAAGTGAATGACAAAGTCAGGCACTCAACAGGCAATGCTATTTCTTATCACCATCATCACCATCATAACCACCACTGTTGTTATCATCATCACTGTTATTGCTTAAGAATCATTATGGGGTTGCTGTCATCCAGCTTTAACTGTCTCACACACCATGGTGGGGGTTGGATCAATTGGCCCAGCAAAACTGCATAGAACCCTACCAGGGCAGTTTTATTCAGTGAATGAAGAATGTGCTGAGAGTCAGATAAGCTGTGGAATGGCATAAGTCCTGTCTTAGTTTCCCCTCATCTTAGTCTTTTTCTTTCTCCACCAGGGGAGACTTCTCTGTTGGGTCCTGGACCTCCAAAGGGACGGTTGTGCCTGAGTGCTGCTGAGCCACGAGGATCTATTGCCGAGATGAAAGCCATGCCTTGGAACTGGACTTGTCTTCTTTCCCACCTGCTGGTGGTAGGGATGGGCTCCTCCACTCTGCTCTCCCGGCAGCCACCTCCATTGTCTCAGAAGAGATCTTTTGTCACATTCCGAGGGGAACCTACTGAGGGCTTCAACCACCTGGTGGTGGATGAGAGGACAGGGCACATTTACTTGGGGGCTGTGAACAGGATCTATAAACTCTCCAGTGACCTGAAGGTCTTGGTGACACACCAGACAGGGCCAGATGAGGACAACCCCAAGTGTTACCCACCTCGCATCGTCCAGACCTGCAACGAACCCCTGACTACCACCAACAATGTCAACAAGATGCTCCTCATAGACTACAAGGAGAACAGGCTGATCGCATGCGGGAGCCTGTACCAGGGCATCTGCAAACTCCTGAGGCTGGAGGACCTCTTCAAGTTGGGGGAGCCCTTTCACAAGAAGGAACACTACCTGTCAGGAGTCAACGAGAGTGGCTCAGTCTTTGGGGTGATTGTCTCCTACAGCAACCTGGATGACAAGCTTTTCATTGCCACGGCAGTGGATGGGAAGCCTGAATATTTTCCTACCATCTCCAGCAGGAAACTGACAAAGAACTCTGAGGCAGACGGCATGTTTGCTTACGTCTTCCATGATGAGTTTGTAGCCTCGATGATTAAGATCCCTTCGGATACCTTCACTGTCATCCCTGACTTTGATATTTATTATGTCTATGGTTTCAGCAGTGGCAACTTTGTCTACTTTTTGACGCTTCAGCCTGAGATGGTGTCTCCCCCAGGCTCTACCACAAAGGAACAAGTGTACACATCCAAGCTTGTGAGGCTTTGCAAGGAGGATACAGCCTTCAACTCCTATGTGGAGGTGCCCATTGGCTGTGAGCGCAGTGGGGTGGAATACCGCTTGCTGCAGGCTGCGTATCTGTCCAAAGCTGGGACTGTGCTTGGCCGGACCCTGGGAGTTCGTCCAGATGATGACCTCCTCTTCACTGTCTTCTCTAAGGGCCAGAAGCGGAAAATGAAATCTCTGGATGAGTCGGCCCTATGCATCTTTATCTTGAAGCAGATCAATGACCGCATTAAGGAGCGGCTGCAGTCCTGCTATCGGGGTGAGGGCACACTGGACCTGGCCTGGCTCAAGGTGAAAGACATCCCCTGCAGCAGTGCGGTGAGTCAGGGAGAGCCTGTGGGCTGGGACAATGGGGTGTGGATGATGAGGACCCCGGCATTGTAGCCTCCGTGGGGTATGGATCAGCCTTTTCATTTTGTGGGCAGGACAAGTATAGCCCGTTTTAGGTCTCATTGGGATTAAGCATCACCAACTCAAACATGGTGAGAGTATAGGAGTCAGAAATGGGGCTAAAATATAGATTTTTCCATTGGTGCGCTGTTCTGTCTTCCATGTTGGCTCCTGATTATGAGAGGGAGCACTGGGAATGGGTGAAGTAGATGTTCTATGCACCAGGCACAGTGGAAGCCTGGATTAAAGTGTGTTGTAGCATAAGACTTGTGTCTACCCTTATCATGGACCAAGCATGTGAATCACTTTTCTGGGATTAAGAATAAATCCATAGAAGAGTAGGGAGAGGAGAATGTGAGTGTGAGAAGTTATTCTATGTTTGTGATGGATATGGAATTTCAGGAGAGTTATGTTTTTAGCTCATTGCATGTCTTTAGGAAATGACAAAATGAAAGGAGAAAGGGGTAGAAAGAGATTACATAGTTATTAAGTATCTCCTGTGTGCACAGAGCCATGGAAAAGACATGTCACAAAGTCAGGAAGCAGTCAGAGAGCAGCCGCACCAGGTGACCAAGGGCTGTAGGAACCCAAGGGAAGTGAAATAGAGAGTTGTTAGGGGCCTACCCATGGCCTAGAGGGTAGTGCAGACAGACATCAGGCTGCTGCATTGTTAGGTGATCGCAAGTGACTCACAGTTTCCTGTTTCTCTAAGCCCTGCTCACCTATGACCCAAAAGGAACAGCACCTGCCATTCTGGGCTTAACTTCTGCTCATCTTTCAAAGGATACTGTTTTTTATTTTTTTCCTGCAATAATTTTTTAAGTTACTTGGAAGCCTCAGCTGTTAGTGTCTTCTATGCCAATGTTACTATCCTTTCCTACTTCCTTTTTAAATTTTCCATTAAAAATTTATGAGCCTCGTTTGCAATCTATCTTGTACTCCTTTTCTCTGTGTGTGGTGCTGTGAATATCTTGTGATCATAATTTGAGGAGAAGAACAAAAAAAAAATTCATCCATTAGATAGAAGTATGCATTCTTGATTCTTACTTGAACCTTGGTGGAATGCTATGTAAAGAAATTGTATTTCGGTCACTTTAAAAAGGAGAAGTTTCCCTTCATAAGGTGCAACTACTTTACAAACAAATCTCAGAGGACCTTGGCCCCCTTTCACACAGTGTATGGTGAGTGACAGCATTCCTCTGCCATTGAGACTTGGGTTCTCAATGAAAGAAGAAACTTAGCAAACTTTGCCTTGGTTCCCTGGCATTTAAGCTCAGGCTGTTCTCCACTCGCAAAATTTCCAGAAACCTGGAAACAAGAAGATTCTATTATACTTGGAGGTCCTGAAAAGACCAGGAGACCCCTATGCCACAAAGGACACGGAAAAGGTACTATGGAAAGAAGGGAAGGTAGAGAATTGAAGGGATTCCAACATGTACTGAATCCTAGTCAGTGTCTTAACCTTTGGGAATTTCTTTTAGAGTCTTTCATTTGGGGCAATAGCTGGTTCACTCAAGAGAGTCTACAAGACAGGGTTATGAACTTGGGGGACCATGGACTTCTCTTAAATGAAGACAGCCAATGACAGGCCAGATTTTGTGCTGTGCATGTGTGTTACACACTCAAACATAGGTTCATGGGGACAGACAATAGGATGTTGGTATAGAAAAGACCCTTTGGGAGAACTCTTGTGCTGCTATCACAGAATTCCTGAGACTTGGACAATGATGGTGAATAGAAATTTATTTCACACGGATCAAGGTCTTGGCACCTGGCAAGAGCCTTCATCTGCATCATAGCATGGTGGAAGACATCATATGGCCGAAGGGCAAAGAGAAAGAGCAAGAGTGTGCTGAACTTGTCCTTTATACTCCCATAATAACAGAAGAATCTACTCATTTGGCAGATCCCCCATGCCATCATTTCTTACATGTCCTGCCTCTTACTACTGGTACAATAGCAATTAAATGGGAGGGGGCAACTTCAAACCTTAGCACCCTGCTTAATCTTCTTTTTGCATTCGAGTACCCTGACACCCAACAAGGTAAATTCATTGCCCAAGGTCACACATCTGTAAGCAAGTGGTGGAGCCAGCATTTGCAGAGTCCTTGTCTGCAGGGCTCACACATGTACACGCACACAAATACAGAAACACATGCATGTACTTGCATACGTGCAAAAAATACTCTCAGAAGCATACATGCATATAACCTATGTTATAAAATGGCAAGTTTATGCTCTGTGCTTATTAAACAAGTAATTCTTTTGAGATCAGAGGGGTAGGCAATCAGAGGGGTTGATTTTCTATAGAAAACTTGTTCACAACTGTTTTCGGGGCTATGCTTTTGGGAGCAGCATCATCTGTAGGGATCCATCTGACTGCCATGGGCAGGTGTTTGTCCTGCCCTCACTCCTGTCACAATATAAAAGCCAAGTTCATCATGGAAGTGCAGAACTGCAGGCTCTAACACTGCATGGTAGCCTTGAAGAGAACAGAGGGAATACAATGTAGCAAGACAGACTAATGCCAGGATTGGGAGTAACGGAGCCAGATAACAAGCTTTTGATTTTCCTTTTGGTTTTAATTAGCCCTTTTAAGTTAGAGGCGAGTTCAGGACTGAGAGTAGAAAGGAGGAGGCCAGAACCTGCATAAGGCTTGGGCTGTCCCCCCAGCCAGTCTAAAAAAGGCCAGGCTGGCTTTTAAAGCACAGTATCAGTTTCCTTTGATTTGGATGATACCCGAGTTACTTTGCTCTGAGCCTCTTGTTACAATTCATCTGGACTTGGCTCAGACCACACATGTTTCACGGGACATCAACATTAACCAGGCCAGACTCCTGAGCTGTCTTTGAAATCTACCACATCACCACCCCAGCTTTCCCCTTGACCTGTTAACAAGACTTGAGGTGGTTTCTTTTCCCTTTCTTGCCCAGAGGTGTAAGAAGGACAGGATAAACTCTAGATTTTTCTGTTTCTTTGAGTCTGGGGCTCCCTTGAGGCATGTAAAGTGGAACCAAATCTCAGATAGCCTCTGTCTTGTAGTGGGTCTGCTGAAATGCTCCCAGGAGGTTGACTTTTAGTGTTGTATTTTGTAGGGGGTGGAGTTCCTCGTAGGTTTTATCTTAGTTACTACTTGGAGAGTCTAAAAAAGGGATTAATTTTTATGTGCTCCTTGCTGTACTAATTTAAATTAGAATGCTCATCCAGTGCACTTGTCAGGTCTTTGTGGTCCTTTCCACTTCCTGGAACCAACATTGCTTCTCTTGAACTTAGGCCTACAGAGCCAGGAGTAATAGGAACCATGGGCCACCTGCCTACCTTACAAGGTTCTCCAGCTATGCTCTGTGGCAGATGAGTGGAGGCATAGAGCACACATGTGTGACTTGGTTTACTATGCCATAGGGTTTCTGTGGAACCCCTTAAGAGGAGAAGTGTTGGGCCAGAAGGCCAGAGCCTGCTGACTGCAGCCACCAGAGAGCTCTGTGGTACTGTAGCTCCTGGTGAGTCAGGGAAGGCTGCCTGTACCCATATCAGAGATAAGGTTGGCCAGCTGACTGACTTCGTCATGGGAATATGTTGCTGTGAATGCAAATGCATACTGCAAACACCAATCCCTGAGCTGTGTTGGATGTAGAAGCCACAGAAGCAGCTGAGGTGTTTTCTGGTGTTTGTGGGGATGGGAGAGCTCCTGCTTTTGCCTTCTAAGCCCCCTTTGGCCTATGTCCTGGTTTATACTAGCCTGAATGGAGAGGGGTATCCAACCACAAATGCACTTGTGTCTGAAAATTATTCAGAGAATCTCAGCAGGGCAAGAGAATAGAAATCCTCGAGGATCTGTCAGGGGTCCCAGTTTGTTTTGGGACTCAGGGAACTTAAAGACTAACCTGAGGCCAATTTGCTAATGGTATCCAGGTGGGTTAGTGATAGAGCTTTAATTTTTCTTTTTCTTAAGTTCAGCATCAGGAGTCTCTATTTCTGGCCTCTTTTGAAGGCTGCTGCATGGATACAACCATGCAGGCTCCCTCAGACCCTCTGTCTGCAAAGCACATAGGGCTGAGAAGCTCACTGCTTCCGTGCCAAGGCCCTATGCAGGCCAAGATGACAGCTCCCATACCTTCTTGGGAGGAGGGGAGACCTGACACTTTTAGCCTCAGTGGGCAGCCTGCTGGAGTGTGCTGCCATGGACCAAGGCTCTGTATCCATGGGTCCAGAGCTTGGTGTCCAGGGGTTTCCCACGCATGCCTATCTACACTCTTCTCCCTTTCTTCAGCTTTCTGGGGTCCTGCACAGAATAGAGCCTCTGCTTCCAAATGTGCCAATGAATGGATGAACATCTCAGGCCCTGGGAAAGTGTTTGGTAGCGGATTCACTGCTGGTGAGTGCCAAGATCGTGAACTGACATCAGTCTCCTGGAGCCCATGTTGTGATGGAGAACAGGTCATTGCGGCCTGGGTGATGGGAAAAAAGGCTGTGATTATGGGAGTGGCCACCACTCCCTCTACTTAAATTTTCCTGATTTTGGAGCCGACTAAAAAGTGGGTACAGGAGCCAGGCCATGTCAGCTGTAGGACTGATAAGCTGGAAGGATCCTGGCAAAAAATTAGCTTCTTTCTTGAAAGCCTTGACCTCAGAGTGACGTTCCACTAGAAAATTTGGGCCAGTGGGGCAGGAACTATTATCCAGAATTACCACTTCACATATGCCAGTCTCCAGGACAGGGAGTAGAGAGTGATGGCCGCCAAACTGGCTGATAGCAGAGTTTAAGCATTTATATGGCATCTACCTGCCAGCTTATGAGGTTTCTTCATTGCCTCCTTTTCTTGTCTTTACAATACTATAGGACAATGGAAAGGGCAGGCAGCCTGTCCTGCTGAGGGACCAGAGAGGCAAAAAAGTCAAGTGCTTCCTTGCTGTCATGTAATTAGTCT